AGGCTGAAACAACTACACAATTTGCATGGTCCAGCACAAACTGAAAATGCAGAGCTCCTTGTTCAATAAGTCTTAAGATTTCAGACGGAGACAACAGATCATTAAACCAAGTGCAGGGCCCTGTATAACTGACTACAAGGGTCACATAACCACAAGACCAGCCCTGACAACAGCTGAATTATCCTGAGAACTTACCTATGGTCCTTGCTAGAACTCAGGCTAACAGTACTGCCTTACACTCATTAAATGGTTCAACTACCTCCACTCCAGGTGGCAGCATGCTTGGAAAAGCCCAGTCTGTGGAGCCACTGGATCCAAGTTCAAATCCTGATGCTCTCACTTGACGGGCTATGACCTGGGATCTCGTAACTGTGAAGTTTCAATCTCCTCAACTACAAAATGGGGAAAGCAACATCTTTGCAGGATATTTGGGAGGATTAAACCAAATAGTATACATGAAATACCTAGGCACATAATTTGTACTCAATAAATGTTACTCCCATTTAATTTCAAAGATGACTATTTCTCCAGCCTCGTCAATGATCTAGACTTGCAGTGTCCAATGTGAAGGCAACTGCCACATGAGCTGTCACCGGTTCGATTTCCAGTCAGGGCACATGCCCAGGTTATGGGCCTAAACTCCAGTAGGGGGCATGCAGGAGGTGGCCAATAACTGATCTCTCGCATCGATATGTCTATCTTCCTCTCTCCCTAAAATCAATGAAGAAAAAAAATTAAATATATATATAATTATTCTGGATGAAATATCAATCATAACCTTGGCTAAAAATCTAGATGTGAACTGAGCATTAAGGCAAAGAAGTATTATAAATAAAAGAGTCTGTCCTTCAGAAATATGCAGGTAAGATGAGTGTTTTAGGAATATGTAAAGAAATTTCTTTCCCAAAACCTCACCCTCACTAAATCAGCCCAGCTGATTACAATATTGGCAAGCCCACCTGAACATCTTTCCATACTCTCTCAACTAGGAGAAAGCAAAAACGTCATCACTCACACACAAAAGTAAATCAGCATCTTTGCAGTCTCAAGATGAGCTTCTAGCCAGAGTTCCCACTTGTAAGAGCAGCAGCAGAATGCCTCTAGCGACTGCCAAGCTATAGGTATAGCAAATGTCTGAGGTTTTCAACTTTTATTTTCTATTCTAGCAGCTTTTCTTTCACATCCTCTTTCAAAAGTCCAGTGCAGGAAATCTTGAGTGCCTCACATTTGCCTTAGTTTACCATGTACCTAGGAATACAAGCACTGTCAACCATACAAGGAAGAAAAGCCAAAACATCTATCCAAAGAGGTTTCCATCTTCCTAAGTGAAAGAGAAAACACAATAGGTACAGGCAGTCACAGGACTGGGAAGGAGTGTTCTCCTGTATGTACTGCTACTGGGGAAAGGCAAAGTGATAAAAATGGCTCTGGAAACAATTGGCAGCGAGGTGTTTAAAACCTTTAAAAGTCCTTACCTTTCACCTAGCAGTGCCCTATCAAGGGATTTCTCCTTAAGAGATAATCAATGACAAAGGATTCTATACAGAAATGTTCATCACACAGTTCTACCTTTACAATAGTAAAAACTTATAAATAACCTCTACGCCCAAAAATGAGAATTACCACTAAGAACTATGAAGCACCCTTTTAAAAATAAGTAGACAGCCCTGGCCGGTTTGGCTCAGCGGTTAGAGCGTCGGCCTGCGGTCTGGAGAGACCCGGGTTCGGTTCCCGCTAAGGGCACATACCTCGGTTGCAGTTTGTCCCTGGCCCTGGTCGGTTGTGCAGGTGGCAGCCACTCGATGTGTTGCTTTCACATCGATGTCTCTCTCTCTCTCTCTATTCCTCTCTCTCCCTCCCACTCTACCTGAACAAAAAATAGAAAGATGTCCTGGGTGAGGATAAAAAAAAGAAAAAGAAAAAAAGAAAAATAAGTAGACAAATATTTAACATGAAATAACAGTCACACTATATTAAGTTAAAGCATGTTATAAAACATCATGTATATTATAATGTCATGGATATTTTAAAAGTACATTTACATAGTAATTTTAACACTGGTTATCTCTCGATATAGCATTATACTTTTTACACTTTTTTCTTGAATTTCTCTATTTCCTGAATTTTATATACTGAATATGAATTACTGGGAAAGATTTTCTTCTTTAAATACACAGCAATGTAGTTCAAACTACAATAGAAAATAACTATAATCATAATAGCTATTACATATCTATGTAGCACCTAAAACACATAAGGTACTGTTCTAACAACAAATGCCAACTATACAATATTCCTTTAAAATTAAAACTCCTTTCATAATAAGAACAATTTGTTTAAGATATTACCTGATTTTCTACAGCTAATTAAGATATGTATGCATTGGAATAACTGATAAAGTAATCATGATGTTCAGTTCCTCTTTTAGTTTAAAAAATCTTACAACATACCCTGGCCTGTTGGGTTCAGCGGTCAGAGCATCAGCCCACGGACCAGAGTCCTGGGTTCGGTTCCCGCTAAGGGCACGTACCTCAGTTGCAGTTTGTCCCGGGCCCCAGTTGCGAACTGGGGTCGTGTGGGTGGCAACCACTCGATGTATCTCTCTCACATCGATGTTTCTCTCTCTCTTCCTCCCTCCTTCCCTCCCTCCCATTCTATCTGAAGATAAATGCAAAAATGTCCTCGGGTGAGGATAAAAAAAATAAAAAATAAAAAAATCTTACGACAATTTAAAATGGCAGCAAACAAGAAAATACATACTATCCCAAAAATAGAGTCTGTTACAAAGAAGTCAGTCTAAACAAACCTCTAGAAAAAAGCACCTTGACACTTTTAACTATACAAAAAGTAATCTACAATTCAAGTGATCAGTTTTAAGTTTGTGTTTGTAATTTCAAAGGTGTCTTGTCAGTCTTCCAGAATTTTGTGAAAATAAAAGGTGTAAAACCCAGAATGCACTTCAAAAGTGCTAAGGTCCCTCTTTCCCTGCTCAGTCCCTTTCTACACATTTTTCTTTAAAATCACTGGGAGCAGGGGTGGGGGTTGGAAGAGGGTATGGGGGAGATAAATGGTGATGAAAAAAAATAAACAAAAGAAAAAAAACTTTTAAAGGATGAGAAGAAAAATAAAATAAAATCACTGGGAAACTGCTGCACTGTGGTCCAAGTACAATGCCATCTTCTGGGGAACAGGCCTGTCCCTTCACACCACCACAGATGATAACAAGCCTGGAAGCCCAAGTTGGGTCCATACAAACTCCTTTTTCAGCATAACTTCATAAAAATCAGAGTGACAAGCAATTTATGAGGTTTTTGATGTGCTGTTTTATTTTTATTATCTCTAATCTAATTAGGAGTTTTAAGTGTGACTTACAACTGACCCTTGATAGAATGGCTAACAAAATTTGCCTCTATTTTAAGTTTAATGAAAGAGATATTTACTCTTTAAAAACAACACAATATAAGTCATAATTTCCCTTTAACTTAAAAAAAAAAATTGCTATCAACTAAACTTCAAGCTCATTAATCAATTACAAATATCTACTGAAGGTCTACTATGTACTAAGCACTGTTCTAGTTGCTTGGGATATGTTAGTGAACAAACTCTTTTCTAAAATCTCTTTAAATAAACTCCTAATTTCCAACCTTTAAAAAAGCAAGGATGAGGGATTTTAACACAACTTTCTTTAAAACAATACTTTCTTAAAAAGTTTTACACCGAAGTTGTCAGATTATAATCTTACTGTGCAAACTGAGTTTCAAATATACTCTAAAACAAAACTCGTTAGTTTGAAGAGGATAATAAAATCCCACAACAAAGGTTAAGAAAAAGGAAGAATTGCTACAAGCAAAGCATATTATCACAGCCCATAAGGAAATTCAGTGATAAAATGACGAAGCCCATCCAGCAGAGGAAAAGGCCCCGTGGTCTTTGGATTCTCCACTAGGCATTCTTATTTATCTGTACATGATTTCTTCACAGACATCAGTTTATAATCATTCATAAAAACAGTATTTTCATCTCTATGAATTTCTACATGTCTAACTTCAAATAACAGATAAGCTTTCCTTATAACCATCCCTCATAGGCTGGATGACTTCTAGCTTTTTTTCCCCAAGAAACCTACATTAAGAGACTGTCCTCCAGGGACAGAAAACCTTTGTGGATCCATCTTATATATAACAGGTTCTGTCAAAGATGCTTTCATACACTGTTATCTAGGAGCTCAGAATAACACTCATCAGAAAAGGAAACAAAGGCTAAAAGTGTGGTAGAGAAGGAAGAAAAGGCAAGGTTTAAACACAGAACTTACTACAGCCGCATCAGTCTGTAATTCTTAAATACAAGTACAGCTAGAGTTCTAGATCTCAAGCACCACCCCAAGATTAAGACAAATCACATGTTAAAATCATATGAAAAGGAGAAGTTTCCAGAGAGCTCCCCTGAAAGGCTGTCTTTAGTATAGTGACAAAAACTGAAGCAACGTGGAAAAGACATACCGCCCAGTGTGCTCCCCCAGACATAGGTTAATATGTCTCTAATCTAAACCTCAAACGTTGGAGTAAAAACAACCTAATTCCGGAAGAAGAAGAAAAACCACATTGAGGAGTGAGGCTGAACAGGGCTGGAAGCCCATGTTATGTCTGCCTGGCTTTGCCTCGTCACCCGGGGATTCTGCCGCGCTGACCCAGGCCTGGATGCGGGTCGTCCGAGAAGCGTGCTCAAGAATCAGATCGCTCCCGTAACAAATAGTTGTCGAAAAGGTGTATCACCTGCACCACACGCCACTGGAACCACTTTCCCTCAATGCAAAGAGGGCAAAGTTTGGGGCTCCGCACAGTGCCTCCTCCATGCCCTGGGACCGCGTTCACACCCCGGGGCGGCCCGCGAGCCGGGTCTCCGGGCGCCGCTGCTCCGGGCCGTCACCCGGCCGCCTCTCGCGAGCCCCTGCAACACCCGCGACCATCTGCTCCGCCACCCCCGCGTTCCCACTCGCTCACCTCCAGGCGCAGGGAGGCCCCGCAGCCTCGCAGAAACTCGCGGATGTTGCTCAGGCACTCGCTCTCGCTCCGGGGCTCCGGGTAGACCTGCAACATAGAGCACAGAAACTGAACCAAACCGGGAGGCCGCGGACGCGCCCCGAGGCGACCCCGCGCGGCCCCAGTGGGAGGCTCCGGCAGGCAAATCCGAGCGGGGGAACCCGGCGGCCAGGAGCGCCCCCGGCCGCCCCCGCCGCTCGCCCGCCAGCCCGCTCGCTCGCCCGCTCAGCCGCTACCTCTCCTCAAGCTCTTTCCTTCCTCCGGGCTGCACCAATCTCAGGCCCCTTCCCTCACCAGGAACCGGACGGGCGCCGGAAGTGACGTCTTCAGACCGCGCCCCTGACGGCCCCCCGCGCGACCTCTTCCGGCCTTCTGCCTCGACTTCGCCTATGCGGCCCACCTGGCCCCACGCGCGATCTTCTCCTCTCGGTACCTGGGTCCTCTTCCTCCGACCGGGCTCACCTGGCCCGCCCACGCAGAGCCTGTTCCTCCCGGCGCCTAGTCCTCATCCTCGGACTCGGCCCACCTGGCCGGCCCACGACCCCTCCTCCACGCACCTGGTGCTCCCCTGCAGACGCGGCTCCCCTCAACACAGACCGCCCCGCCCAGAGGAGCCTGGGTGAGCTCGGCTTTGGCGGCTTGAGCAACCCCACAGGGGCTGGAAAGAACCCGGTGTTTCTTCCTTTCTTCCCTGTCCCGGGCTCAGGAGAGAATGGAGCTAACATTCTAATACGATGATTTAAAATAATAAGCAACATAAATTATGCATGTTGGAATTACAGTGTAAGGTTTCTTTCCCCAAATACAGGCCATGTGCTTCATGAATGATTAATCAAAATGGCCCGTTATAAGTCAGCTGGGGAGACACGGGGGCGAATATAGCCTCCACCACGGGTGAAGAGCACCAAGGAGGGCTCCTTCAGACTGCCTGGGCTTGGTCCTAGGTAGAACTTAGTGCCACCAGTCACACATGTAATTACTGACAGCCTCCCAAGGCAAGAAACATTAAGGAAACCAGGAACAGTACAATTACACAGAACAATCAAGGGAGAAGCCAGAGGCCTAAGAAGAGCTTTTTTTTGTTCTGAACTGAATACGAAGATTAAATTTTGGCAGTTACACTAAATCATCATCCAGATTTCTAACATTTTTTAGGACATTCAAGACCTTTTTGTTCCATCCTCTAGGGGGAAATCAGGACATTCCATCAGGCCTCAGGAATACTGTGGTTTCATCTCCAAGGGCTCAGATCTTTTACAATTACAAATCCAAACAAAACCAGCGTGTTGAGAGGTGTGAAGAGGGAGAAAATGAGACTTTTCTTCCCTTACAATCTAAAACTTCTTCGACAAAAAGTACCAACAAATTTCCCTCCAAATGGAACAGATTTGTTTTGTTTTTGTAGACCACAGAGTAGAACAGCAAAACCAAAGCCCCTTGGGTTCATTATGCTCCTCTCCCTAAAAGAACTTTGAAAATCTATGTACCAAATGTGTAGTTAACATTAGTCTTCATAATGTTAAATAGTTGCAAAATACTAATTTCTGACATCCTGATGACATTTTAAAACTAAACTGTTAAACATTCTTTTTAGAAATATATATCCAATAAACTAAATACAATAGATACAATACCTATTCTCCAACTCGAAAAAAATTTATGAACATGCTCTTCTTTCACATTAATTTCACATTAATTTCTCACTCCTTTAATTCATTTCCTTTCCACTTCCCCCACAAAATTGTATTCTAAAGTGATGTATATTTGTACTTGAAGATGTTACTGATCACATTTGTTTTGCAAGAAACTAATACAAATACAGTTAATCCTCATTCTCTGATTCTGTATTTGCAAATTTGCATACTAGATAAAATGTATGTGTAACCCCAAAATCAGTGCTTGTGACACTTTCTCAGTTATTTATGGACATATGCATAAAAGTGAAAAGTTTGAATTGCCTTATGCACACATTCCCAGCTGAATTTGCACCAAGGCCATGCTCTGTGTCATCTTGTTTCAGCTCATAATTTAAGTAAATGTCCTTTTTACAGTCTGTTAGTGTCACATTTCTCACATTCTTGTGCTTTTTGTTGATTTCGCTGTTTTAAATGGTCAGCAAGCATAGTACTAAACCACTGCCTAGCATTCCTAAGCACAAGAAGTCTGTAATGTGTCTGACAGAAAATACGTGTGTTAGATAAGCTTCATTCAGGCCTGATTTATAATACTGTTGGCCATTTGTTCAATGTTAATGAATCAACAATACGGTATATCCATAAAAAGGAAGAGGAGATTCGCCAATCTGTGTGAGGCCGCTCCGGAAAGTACTAAGGAAACATTTATAGTTCAATAATGCAGCTATGGAAAAGATGGAGTAGATTCAGGAGATGACATCCAATAAAAAGAGTGTAGTAGACAGCACTGTTTGAGGCCAAAGGCCAAAGAAATTTACAATCATGTTACCCAGGGTCAAGAAAATGCTAAATAAACCTTTCTCAGCTAGTGTGGGCTGGCTGGCACGTTTCAAAAGGCCATACATAAAAAATGTTAAACTTGCAGGAAAAGCAGGTTCTACAGATCAGGAGGCTGCAGAAGAATTTTAAAAATATCTGCTAAGCATTATACATGAAAAGGGTTATATGTAAGAGCAGGTTTTCAATGCTGATGAAACAGGTTTGTTTATAAGAATGTTGGCAAACAAACCTATGTAATACAAGTGGCTTCCAAAGCCCCTGGCTTTAAATCATGCAAAGACTTTACAACCCTACTATTATATGCCAGTGCCAAGGGTAACTTTAAGTGCAAAACCCTAATGGTACACAGAGCACAAAACCCATGAGCACTTAGAGGGAAAAGCAAGTCCATTGGAGGTGTAATAAAACATAGAGTCTGAAATATTCTGCAATTGGTTCCACAATTGCTTTATCCCAAAAGCTGAATGCTATTTCCATGGCAAAAACCTTACCTTCAGGATTTTGTTCATTTTGGATAATAATCCAATTCACTGTCATGAAAAACTCAAAAATGCCCACCCCAAAACAGAAGGTCTCTTCACAGCCCCAAATACTGCATCTTTTTTTTTTAATCCTCACAGGAAGATATTCTATCTATCTTCAGATAGAATGGGAGGGATGGAGGGAGAGGGAGAGAGAGAGAAAAATCAATGTGAGAGACACATCAACTGGTTGCCTCCCACACAACCCCAACCAGGGGCAGGGACGAACCACACCAAGGTATGTGCCCTTGACGAGAATCAAACTAGAAACTATGGTCCACAGGCCGACGCTCTAACCACTGCGCAAATGGGCCAGGGTAATACTGAATCTCTTATCCAGTGTCTCAGGGCATAATAAAAGCTTTCAAGGCGCACTATACCAGGGAGCTTTATAGCAGTGCTATTGAGGCTCTTGATGCCAATGAGGAAACTACCATGATGGACTACTAGAAGTCAATCACTGTTTGCAATGTTGTTGATTATAATATCGGCACAGCCTGGGACAGTATCAAGCAAGCTACTATCATTAACTGTTGGAGAGACGTTTGGCCCAACCGTGAAAATTTTGAAGGTGTTACATAAAATAAAAAGAACAGTGTCAAAAGCGTAATGCATGTTGCACAGCAGATAAGTGAAGGTTTCAACAACATGAAGGAAGGAGATATGGAGTAAATCTTGACAGAAACAACAGTAGAACCCACCAACAAAGACCTGGAGGAAATAGCAAAACATGGCATTAGTGTCAGTGAAGTCAGCCTAAGATTCCAAGAATCATCCCTCTCACAGCAGCCAAAATATCAGAATGGAATTCTGCCTTGGAAAAACTTTTCAATGACATGGAAGAATGTGACCTATGCTTGAATGCAGCCTCACATTTAAGCAGTGAACATCAACTGCATTTGTCCCTTATGCTGAGACACTTAAAGTTTGAGGCAAAAAGCCAAGCAGACAAGGCTAAAGCAGTTTTTCAATCCAGTCTGAGAGGAAAACACTGCTGACACCATCAACAAGTTGTGGAAGCCAAACTCCTGAGGTATAACTGTCAGATCTCACATGCCACCCTCGTTGATGTCTTATCCATCTGCCAAGTAAGTTCCCCCACTCTCATTTGGTTTTCATGGGGCAAGCCAAGGTGAAGAGGTTTAATCACACCGGGTATGGCACCATTACACATCTCACAGCTCCATCAAGTAAGGTTTTAGTTACTCATAAAATTTTAAATGTTTAATCTTTGCTTCATGCTTTTTCAGGGCTTCCATTACTGTACTATACAGCACACAGGGTGTATTTACTGTGTGTATGTGAGAACTATATGTATACTGTGTATTACTGAGCAGGAGAGTTAAACTAGGGCAGTCACATTACAGTAGACTATTACATAATGCTGTAATTAAAACAGTGTCTTACGGTAACAGAAATACACCTAAAACAAGATTATTTCTTGATCAGTTGATAAAATGTCGGGACCAGAGTCTCAAAGAAACTAACCTTATATTTTCCCAGGAACAATGGCTCAGTAGTTGCTAATTTAGTATTTGCTATGACTTTACAGAATATAACTACCACAAGTAGTAAGAATTGACTCTAGCCCAGCCAGTGTGTCTCAGTGGATTGAGTGTCATCCCATGGACTAAGAGGTCCCCACTGATTCCTGGTCAAGGCACGCACCTGGGTTTCAGGCTCAATCCCCAGTAGGGGGCGTGCAGGAGGCAGCCAGTAAATGTTTCTCTCTCACATCGATGTTTCTATCTCTCCCTAAAAAAAAATCAATAAAAAAAAAGTTGACTCAGATTACTAAGCCATAAAGATCTAATTGTTACAATTTTTCTTCTAAATTGAGTTAACACAACTATGATGGAAACATTATAATTTTTGATGAAAATTATTAAATATAAAATGTTATTTGGAAATATACATCTTAATAAGATGTATAAGGTTTTTTTAATTAGTTTATTTATCCATGAATGACTATCATATATTGCTAGAAATCTTATGGTCCAGCATCAATTCCTATCTTGGGTGTTTGATTTATTTTTTTTGACAATACTGAGTA